AATGGACCGCAACCCCAAAACCATTATCTTTTCGCGCTCCGAAACTGTCTCCCGGAAAAGGAGAAATCTCGGCCACCGAGAAGTCGGAAGAGCGATAACAAATATATGTACGTGAGCGGAGAGAAAAAGAAAAATGTCGGTCTCTGCAAAAGGCAGAGCAAAAAAAATCGGGTGACGATATAATTACTGACACAATGTACCAGGGTGTTCAGCAGACTCAATGAAAAAAATTCCCTGACTTTTCCAGATTTTCCAAGAAATTAATTTTTTCCCTAACTTTGTAATATTTTTTCCAATTATGTAATTTGCATATATTTATATGATAAATCAATTAAATGTTAAATCCTTGAGATATTTTTGTCAACAATGAAAAGATTCGGAAGTTAAAAAAATCGAAACGAACGTGTCACTATTTAAATGATCACCTTTTTTTATTTATATATCAAATTTTATTTTTAATATATTTTAACAAATTATAATACATATATTTTAATATATTTAATGATATCTAATATCACAACAAAACTTATCTAGATAAATAGTATTTCCTGACTTTTTTCCCTAACAATTTCAGATTTATAAAATTCCCTGACAATGCCCGATTTTCCAGATTTCCCTGATCACTAGACATTCTGTATATCCTGTATACATATATATATTTTATTAAATAAATGTAAACTTTAAAATTTTATAAAAGTTTCTCTGATTAATATTTATCACAATAAAAAATACATTTTAATACATGTATACATAGTAAAATCAATCGAACATATTTTATATGTTATTGCGGTAGATATTAATATTTTTTATTGTAGTAAATATTAATCAGAAAAACTCTTATAAAATCGTTTCCACTTATATATATATATATATATATATATATATATATATATAGGTAGAAGATGTGCGCGCACAAGTAGTGGATAAAAAGAGAATAAAAGATCCCTCACACGTTTGAAATACGGAACGCAAGATATAAAGTTCACGCTCGCGAATGCGAGGTTGAAACAAAAGTTGACAGATACGAACTATACCGCGACACGTCGCGTGTCAAACGGTTGCAATTGCAACAATAAATTCCAAACTCTAGGACTCGAAGCACTTTTCGCGATGAATAAAGCTGTTAGATGGATTATAGGGTGTTTCAGAACTAGCAGTAAACCTGGCAGATTTTTCGTATCATTTGGCAGCGATTTTTCCTCAGCGAAAATGTCGAGGCATAATAATAATTTCAAGTTATAAGCGAATAAAATATTAACAAAATCACATTCTTCAAATTAATTTCAAGTACACAGAGAAATTTTTCTCTTAGAATTTAATGGAGAAATTTTATAAGAGTTTCTTTTAATTAATATTTACTACAATAAAAAATATTAATACGTCCTCAAAATAACATATAAAATATGTTTGATTAATTTTACTAGGTATACATATATTATGTATTTTTTATAGTGATAAATATTAATCAGAGAAACTTTCATAAAATTCGAAGAGAAAATTTTATCCGTGTAGAGTTTAGTTTAATAGAATTTTATTTTAATATTCAATTATATATACATAAAGATAAATGATGACAAAAATTGGGAAGATGCACAAAATGATGGCCTCCCTCGACATTTTCGCTGATGAAAAATCGTCTCCGAATGATTCCATCTGCAATTAACAAGTTTGCCAGTTCTGGGACACTCTGTAGAAATGTATAACGTGTGCAGTTTTAAAATAAGCGACACGTATAATTAATGCAGAAGCAATTTGCGACAGACTTTCGGTAGACTCCGTTATCGGTTATCAAGGTTTTCCCACGCAAAAATGACGCACGAGAGGAAGCTAGAGCGACGGAGCTCTCCTTCGGTTCAGAAAAAGATTAGTATTCCCCGGAGCATTTGCAGACGAGCTGTATCTAATTTTGGCAAGCAAGCGATAAAGATAACATTGTTATCTCGGCGAAGCTGGAACACTACGAATCACACATCTACTCTCACGCAGAGGAGTAAAATGCATTATTGTCCAATTCTGAGAATGTCTGTTTGCCCGAAAAGTTTAATGTAAATGTTGAATATATTCAAGCGAAAATGTACAATATGTATATGTGTATTTCTGACGGAATTGATTTCATTAACTGCATTGCAGACAATTGAAATGAAAAATTGCTTATGTTAAATTCAACAATAATTAAACTGTGAAAATATTATGTGTGTAATTACGCGTGACTTGTAATTATAAGGCAAGCATACATAATTAAACCATATTGCAAACAAGAATATATCTGCATGAGAGATATTTTAAATCTTTTGTGCTGGCAAAAATTAACTTTTTAGAATTATTTTTTCCGCATAGAGTAACATGAGTAAATAAAATTGTTAAAATTCTTCAAATCGAATCTTTGCCGTTGCACTCTGATACAAATTTGTCACAAAATGAGGTCGCACCGAGCGCGTTACTCTATAAATTAACGAGATCGTAAGAAGAAGTTAAAACAAACTTGTTTGAAAACTTTTATCATCGCTTTTTCTCGCGGTCGAGATAAAAAGCTTTCAAGTCCATGAGAAAAATCTCTTGCTAGTCTCTGACGTGCAAAGATAATCCAAACAATATACATTAACTTCGTTTTAAGAGGATTCATTCTTTCTAGGTATTTTTTGCTTGCAAATAGAAGTGATATAGGTGCGCGAAAACTTGTTGCTATTTTTTTGTACGTCGTACGAGAAACAATTCCTACAATATTAATTAAAATAATGTGGAGTATGTTTTTAATTGTAAATAAAAAAAGTTTAAACACACACGTGTGTACGTGCAACATTTTTGTCTAAAAATAGTTTAAATTAGAAGGAATGCTAACAATTCTTTATATCAACAACTTCTTCCTCATTAATGTCTATCTCTATTATGTATGACACTTTTGATTGTCGATTCCCGCCACGTTCATTAACGCTAATCTTGGTGTACTATATCTTTCGATCTGTGTCATGATCGTATCTACGATCTAGCGAGAGAATGAATTCAGTTAACTTCAATTAAGGTTAACCAGAATCAGAGGCATCGATTCTTAAAATGCCCATAAATTTAATAACACGCCAATCACTTTAATTACGCAAACTCGTGCATTAAGTCTAAATTGCACAGAAAAAAAATATCTGACCATTTTTCAACAATATGTCGATTTCCCATAGAGTTGCATCTTTTATGCGCATTTTTGCACTGAAAAGCAAATTGATTGAATTTAAATAAATATTTATTTCAACTGCATAATAAATAATTTATCTGAAACTAATAATATTGATTTGATGTGAAAACATGTTTAATTGATATAAAAAAATCCTTTTTAAACAGATAAATATTTATTTGCTTCAAATAATAAATATTTCTTAGTTTAATAATTCTTTCTCAGTGTATATACTTACGTAAATATTCAGATTCAAATAAATTATTCACTGTTATACGTATAATACAATAAAAGTTGAATTAATTAAAAAAAGTAATTTCAAGCAACACACCAAAGAGACTCGTTTTACAACTTACAATTAGCAAGATATGACGTTACTTATATATAGTATATATAATTTATTCATATTTATTCGTAAAAATATTCGCTCTTTATTAATCACACTTCTGAGAAGTAGTTCTCAGTTTTCGAATTAAATCTATTTATTGGCTATACGGATTGTTTTTTTACCTGAAATTAGAACACTTCGTCCTTTGTTAATATTAATACTTTAATTTGTACAGAAAAAAGATTTATCAATCTGTATAGTCTCATATATCTTGGTTACAGAATTCTAAATGCTTAGAATTCATAATTCTGTAACCAAGATATATGAGACTATACAAATTTTCTTGTACTTTTTCCTGTACAAATTAAAGTATTAATATTAACAAAGCACGAAGCGTTCTAATTTCAGGTAAAAAACAATCCGTATAGCCAGTAAATAGATTTATAGTTATCTAACCTCGCACATTTTGTCGATAAAACAGGAAAGAAACTTAAGTTAACTTAGGATTCCCTTAATCGATTTCTAATTATCTATGGATTGCTTTTCACCTGAAATAAGGAGATCCTAAGCTAACGTAAGTTAGCTTAGGATCCCCTTATTTCTAATTTCAGGTAAAAAACAATCCACATAGCCAGTAAATAGATTTATAGTTATCTAACCTCGCACATTTTGTCGATAAAACAGGAAGGAAACTTAAGTTAACTTAGGATTCCCTTAATCGATTTCTAATTATCTATGAATTGCTTTTCATCTGAAATAAGGGATCCTAAGCTAACATAAGTTAGCTTAGGATCCCCTTATTTCTAATTTCAAGTAAAAAACAATCCATATAGCCAATAAATAGATTTATAATTTATCTAACCTCACATTTTGTCGATAAAACAGGAAGGAAACTTAAGTTAACTTAGGATTCCCTTAATCGATTTCTAATTATCTATGGATTGCTTTTTATCTGAAATAAGGTGATCTTAAGCTAACGTAAGTTAGCTTAGGATCCCCTTATTTCTAATTTCAGGTAAAAAACAATCCATATAGCCAGTAAATAGATTTATAGTTTATCTAACCTCGCACATTTTGTCGATAAAACAGGAAGGAAACTTAAGTTAACTTAGAATTCCCTTAATCGATTTATCTATGGATTGCTTTCTATCTAGCTAACGTAAGTTAGCTTAGGATCCCCTTATTTCTAATTTTAGGTAAAAAACAATCCATATAGCCAATAAATAGATTTATAATTTATCTAACTTCACATTTTGTCGATAAAACGGAGGAAATCACAGACTTCTCAAGGACATTTAGGATCGCCTTAAGCCGTGTCGTTTTTCCCAGACAAAGTGCAAAGAAATCTAATTGAAATGAAGCAATAGCCGACGATTCGGGCTTCAGACTTTGGGATATGCGTGATATACGGTGGGTGGTAACCGGCTTGCAGCTGAACCGCGTGGCGGGAGAAGTTGGCCACTTGGCAGGGGAATAATAACGAGAGAGTCGGACTGACACACACGGTGCGGCATGCAAAGAGAGAGAGGCTTTATAAATCGCGAGGATGCACGTCGAAGCAGTGACACCTCGGCCGACGACGGTGAAAAACGCGAACGCGACGACGGTACGTCTCCCTTAAAAACCTTGCTTAACAGCAAGTAAGTGTCGTATATCCGCGGAACGCGATTAAAACTTCTCCTACGGTACGATTAAAACTTTCCTTCCTCGCGAGCATCGAAAAGTTTCCCGCCGATGATCGACGCGACCTGATCGCGCGAAAAAACTTGCTCTCTTCTTCTTCTCGAAGGCTACACTTTAAAGGAGGCTATACACGATTCGAGGGATATTGTTCGATTAATTTCCACGACTTTTCCGCCTTATATATATATATATATCAATCTCGATCCGGCTGATATTTTCGACGAGGCCTCTCGAAGTGGCCGAAATAACGAATTTCTCCTCGAGTGAGAACGATATCGATACGACTTGGCGAATCAATATTCCGCCTGCCATATTGCCGCACCTTTAACACCGGGTTCCCTCACGTCGGGTCCGTTCAATCGGTTAACTGCCCCGGAAACAGATCGACCGGAATCTCGCCACCCCGAAGGAAGATTACGAGATTCTTCGACGAGCACCCGGGCTGCAATCGCATCGATCGTCGCAAATTGGATTGCCGCTAAAACCTGGCTAAGGGGACAGCCTTGGAGCAGCGTTCAGTGCCGCCGGGGCACACCGACGCAACCAGAGAAAGAGATAGAGTGAGTTTTAGAGTGCGTCGCGATTAATTCGAGACGCCGGTTTTGCACCTGGGGTTTTGCGCCGTAAATGAGCGCGATCAGAGAAACGTGACTGACAAGCGAAGACAAGCTACAAATCCATCGTCCGCGCATGCACGAATGAGACTTGTTAGCAGCGGCTTGCTAGCGAGAATTCATTAACGGCGACTTTAACAAGCAGGTATGTACAATTTTAGTTTTCAAATATATAAAGCTGTCGAGATAAAATTATTTAAATTTCATAAAGCTATAGCCTATACACAAAAAATTGCTGTCCCTATATTACAACCAGAAATTAATTATTGTGTCCAAATTGCGGTATAACTAATATTTTTAATTATAGCTATTGTATACTTAGCTAATTTTTTTTGCGTGTACCTATCTCTGATCGGAGAAAGAGTACATGAAGTATTCGAAATAATTGTGCGCAGAAAATAAGCAGTTAAATTGTTGCTCTACTGACAGGTGATTATAAATCATTTTCATGTTCTGTAACAATTGTTTTTTCCTAATGAGACGTAATGAGCTTGACATGATAACGCATGTAGTATAACCGCAAAGGTTGACTATACTTGGAAAAAACAAATTAATATCCTCTCTATATATGTGATCCCGCATATGATTGCGTATAATTAAATGCGGCCACATCTCGATAGTCGCGTAGGAATTTATAGAGGTACTTTAATTACATTATCATAAATGGAGATCAATTGAAAATCCTATTAAAGCATTATGCAAATTTAATAACTGTTAATTAACAGGTACTACGAAATTTTGGTACGTAGTCACGTATCGTATAGCCCTGTTGACGTAATTATCGGCATTTAATCATTTCGGAATAACTAACTCTTATCGAAAGATTTTGATTTGAACGGACATTCGCACTTTTCTCCAAACAAAATGAATATATTAAAGATACATCGACGTAAATTAAAAATAAAGCGATACTTAGTTTCTTCAAGGTTATCGTGCACGATAATACGTGATTAACTGAACATTCGAAAAGAAGACTGACAGTTTTGCAATTTCTATTACTTGAATATTTTTCTACTTAAACATACAATCACATCTAATCCATTATTACCATATTTTAAAACATGCTAATTTTTTTTACACACAAAACGCCTTGTTAAATAGTGTGAAATTTTTTGCAAATATATTTAGACTATAAACTCGTCTGAACAGATTTTTGTACAGACATTTTTTATATATTTCCTGTTATTCATATTTCGTTCAATTCATATATTTGCGATAGATTGATATTTAATATTTAAAAAAGATTATTTAAAAATATGCAAAGTCCAAAAAGCACCGAAATATTAAATTACAAATACAAATTATATTATAATGAATCGTGCATAAATTTTAATTTACAATAAAATTTTTCAATTATACGTAATAAACATCTGAGAGAAGTCTTACGTATAATGATGGGGCTAATAAATTGCCGGAGAAAAAATGTTAGTTATACGACACCTTTATATAATCATCAGTTTAATAACCGTCAATTATCCATCTCTCTCGATACAAGCTAACTTCCGCTTCGATTGATTCTGCCGACATTGTATCTGCCGTGGAATTAACGTTAATTATCGTGTCGAGTATCAGTGTTGACGAGATAGAAAAGAATCTACACGAGGCTGTTGCTCCTTATCGCTGTTTTGATCCGCGCGAAGAGAAGGAGTCTATTTATTGAAATATTATCAACGCGCGTTATCGCATTCTCGACCGTTGTCTCCTTGCGTTCTCTCGCATTAATGAGATCTATAATTACAACAGAGTGGCGCTTTGCCGGAGGCGACAATCACGCGTTGCGACGTCGTCTGCGATCGAAAGCTGCTCGCGATCACGTCAAGAAATATATTGCAATTTCGCGGCTTCCTCGAGATTAACTCTCCTGTTATTTCGTAAAATTAAAATAAATATAATTCAAAAGACATATTTGTGTAATGTCATAAAAATTCAATTATAATCATATTTTTGTCGTCAGATAATTATTTAACTAAATATGTTCGATTTCAAGTTCTATCGAAACAAAAATATATAATAAATAATTTAATATGAATATAGTACATTTCAAATGCAGACTAATTGCAGGTAATTATTTAAATAAATAATTTTGCATATTATCTAATAAATTATTTAGACAGATGATGAAATAAAAAAAAGAAACTAAAAAATATAAGCCGCGTTAGAAACAAATAAGTAATATAAACACATTTCGTGAAATGATTTGTTCTGTTTAATACATATTGTGTTTTAAATTTCATATTCCAAAATGTATATCAAATTTCATATTAAAGAGAAAGATGATAAACGAATAAAACATATGTAGATATCATACAAATGAATAATAATTTTGTATATTATATAATAAATTATTTAGACAGATCAAAAAAAGAAACTAAAAAATATAAGCAGCGTTAGAGACAAATTAATATAAATAAAATTGAATAAAAAGATTAAAATAATTATTAAAAAATGTATTCATTTTTTATAAAAAATAATAAAAATTTTCTAACTTGCGAATTTAATTTACAATTCAATTTTTATTATTACATTAATATTTTTAATAAGTAATATACACATTTCGTGAAATTAATTGTTCTATACATGTTTGATACATATATTGTGTCTTAAATTTCATATTCCAAAATGTATAAAAAATTTCGTATTAAAAAAGAAGATAATAAACGAATGAAAGATATGTAGATATACAGATGTGTCATCGTTTTTCTACGACCATAAATCAGGTTTGACTTTATTGAGAAACCTGGTCAGAGGTGGATCCAAAATTGGACATTTATGTTTCTCGCGTGAAAAAAAAGCAAAAAAATATACGACGACGATGAGCGCGCGGCGGTGATCTCATAGATACTTGACACGCTCGTTCCATGCCAGCAGTCACAGAGAGATGTTCCTGGCTGTCATTGAGAGCATATGTCGTTATGTTAGCAACGCGGAGCCCTGCGTGCTGACAAGGTCGCGCGATTTAATCGCGGACTTGTGAAACGATTCCTTCGAGATTGCGTCAATAGTGCCGTGTGTCGAAGTATCGTCGTCATGTAAATAATATTACAGATCTCGGCTGTCAATCACATGTAACGGGCGCGCGTTCATAACGATGAAAGGACTCGTTGTCGATACAAGTTACGACTAGTATATCAGACGCGAAGGTTGCAAACGGTAAAACTAGAATACTTTATCGGAAAATCACGAATGAATGCAATTAGAAACAGAATGTTAATTGAAATGGCAATTAAAACGAATAAAATTACGAAATTTAATTCCATTATCGTGGAAATTAGAACAGGTTTGGTTACTGATTTTTTTTATCGCGCTTCTGCTGTTTTATTTATGCTCAATTTTAAATAATTTTTCTCGTATATTCTTTTATTAATAAAGATTTCATTAATTAAAGCTTTCAAATGTGATTACTTAAACTAATTTAATTGCAATAAATAGTATTGCTACTATTTTTTTGTGTGTAAATGTGTGAAGAGAGAGATAATAAAGAATTCTTTCTAATATATTTTTATGATAAAACATATTGTTAAGTACACAGTGTTGTGCTTAGATAATTAAAAAATTAGCTAAATAAAAATGAGATGAGAAAATATGTAAATTCATCTTATAATAGATAAGATGAAGATGATTTTGTTTTAAATGTATCTAGATAAAAGATAAAATTATATAGCGATTCATCCAGATAAATTCTATATAATATTATTTTTAAGACTGCTTATTAAACGCAGTTATAAAAAAAATGTAAATTATAAAAGTTATATAAAAATATATTCATATTTTTATTTATAAGTTTTTATCGCTTACTGTTTCTTCTACTACTTAAATATTTTTATGTACTCTGACTCTAAACCAAATTATCTGAACATATTAGTGTAGATAATTTAGTAAAGATAACACTTTTTTTCATCTAAGATGCCGATATAGATAATACATATTTTTATAATCTATATAAAGATAAAATGATGCCAAAATGTCATCCAGATAATCTAAATAATTTTATTTAGATAACAGCAAACACTACGAGAAAATATATTTTCACTAAGTCTTATTGTGAGAAAAAGAGAGTTCATCTATGTTCATTTATTTCTATAATATACATATATATCCTTCTCCTCTTTTCATAAAATACATATATACATATGTACAACCACGTATTTGTTATTTTCTGAATTTCGCGGGGCTTTTTCCCGAAGAAAGAAATTCCCGCGCTTTATATCCTTCCGCGCTTCTCTCAGATGGAGGCCACATTTGACATTTTAAAAGTACCAAAGAAAAGCGCGCGCAACTCCTCATCCTTTTTCATCATTTTCTCCAAATAAACTCGCGGCTCACGATAAACGCTATACAACCCTGTCGTTTCGCTAATGTCGCCCCCGAGCGCATCTCGACTGCACGCGCGCGCATGCAGATTAACGGTGCATCGCGTGGCTTATCGACAGCCCGACATGCATGTACATATATATACACACACACACACACACACACACATATATATATATATATATAAAATCGGTGGAACAGGGGAGAACTCGCGAGAACTCGAAGCCGTCGAGTTCTCGCGAGTTCTATATATATACATATATATATATATATATATATATATATATATATAGATAGAGAGAGAGAGAGAGAGAGAGAGAGAGAGAGAGAGAGAACTCGCGAGAACTCGACGGCTTCGAGTTCTCGCGAGTTCTCCCCTGTTCCACCGATTATATATATATATATATATATATGTGTGTGTGTGTGTGTGTGTATATATGTGTGTATGTATATATATACGTGCGTCCCATAGGTACGAAATTTTCTGGATGAGCGAATCGTACGAAATCGACAATAAATCGGGAGCTGCTGCGCGACAGCCAGCAGGCTACTCCTTTTCCCTTCCTTCGTTTCGCGTTTCGAAGCGAACGCGGCTATCAAGCTGTCGCAAACTCGTGACAAAAAATCTCCTCTCTTCCACCTCGCACCTTGGACTCATCCCGTTCCTCCCTCTCTTCCACCCTTTCCGCCAGGGGATGCAACGTTTATCGATCAGGAACTGCACCGTATAGCCGAGTAACGCGGTTACGTCGCGTATATAAATGCTAAATACCCTCGGGGCTCCATTCGCTTGAAATATCGTCTTCTTCGACCGACCGGTTGAATTTCGTCCTT